CAGAACGAGCCACCCTGCCCCAAACTACTGCGCATGCTCCCAACAAGGCGCCTGCGCACTAGCGGCAGGCAGCCACAAGCCCTGGCTTTCCTCAGGCGTACATTATCGAGAGGCGACTCCGGGGAGCAGGGGGGGGAGTGAATTTTTTTTCCTAGAAGTCCGCTTCAGCCAGGAGGCTCTTGCCCTCGGGTCTCCCGCTCTTACCTCGCCAGGCAACGCGCCGGTGGGCCCCCTGGACATGGATCTGAGGGAAAGACGAAATGAGAACCGCTTCTACTTCGAACCGAAGGAGGGGCAGCGAGCGGGGTCTAACCAGGGCTAGAGCGACGCGTAGGTTTCACCTCCGGTTTTAAATAGGAACGCTATTGGCCGTTAACGACTGCTCGCGACGGAGCTTTGCCGCTCTAGGACGTGAATCGTCTATGGTAAAGGCCCTATTTTATGGGTACTATTCGTCGTCAAGCCGCTTCTTAATTCAAGTCTTTCGAATGAATCGCTTGCCCGAGACTCCTACAATTAACAGTCCTACTCAGCTATTGAGAATTAAACCTTAGCACGTGAGAAGAATCGAGTTTAAGTGAAAAACGGAAGTAAAGTCTATATGACTCTAACTTTCTAGCTCTATGGGGCCACCGATGCGGTGAGTTCCCGGATGGAGGAACCTCTGCTGTCTTCCAAGTTCTCAAGAACTACCCTACCCGTCATTCCTCGCGTTAGCCCTGCGGACAGAGACTGATGGGCATGGTAGTTCGACGGTGAAATTGCTTTTTCGCCACCGCCTGATTTGAAGTTAGAGCGCTCCAGTCATTCCTTCAGCTGTCCCACTCAAACTGATCCTGGCGAGGAGAAAGGAGGCGCCACGCCTGGAGCCGGGCTGGGAAAACTACAATTCCCATAAGCCTGTGCATTCGCTGTGCTGACAGGGACGCCTGGGAATTGAAGCCCAAGTGGATCCTGAGCTCAAACACCCCACAGTCCTGATCTGTCAGTAAAAGTGATTATCTTTAGACCACACACACACAGAAAAAAAACAGGCTTCCACGAATGCAATTCACTTCCTTAGGCTTAGAGTAGAAAAATTATGAACGCCCCCCCCCCAGAGGGTCATGGTAGGGATGACCCGTCAGGCAGGTTGCTCGAGAGAGGCTTTCAACCAGTTCGGGGAAGGCTCTCATTCATTCATTCATTCATTCATTCATTCATTCATTCATTCATTCATTCATTCATTCATTCATTCATACATACATACATACATACATACATACATACATACATACATACATACATACATACATACATACATACATACATACATACATACATACAAGACAAGCCACTATACTCTCGGGCACTTTCCAGGAAATAACAGGCATACACTGTTATTTCAACCATTTAAAAAGTTGGAACCTATCAAAACAAAAACCCCGGCATAAACTCAGCACGGCGACAGCGTTACAAAGGGGACGAGGTCTGTAAAGGCCTGGGCAAACCGGGAGTCCTTCAGGGCCCCGCTCCTGCTTGATGATTCTGTCCAGGCCGACTTTTCGAGGGCGGCGAGCAAGGACGGCGTCGCCTCGTCTTCCGTTTGTCTTTCTGGACCGACCCCAGGGGCTCCCTTTTATTTCCACAGATACCCAAGACGACCTGCAAACCCACCCACCCCCCAATCCTTCGTGACTTCCCCCCAAGCCTTGGGGGTCCCGACCCCCCCCCAGGATGGGAAACCCTGCTCTAGAGCCCCCTGGTGGTGGACGCTTTCCTTCCTG